AGACTTTTCACAGTAGCAGAGCCTTAGGTAATACCTTTCGCCTTCGCTAACTTGCACAGAAACTAACATATCTATCGAGTCACCGCTACTTCTTTTAGACCAACGTTTTTCTGTGGACAGCCAAACAAAATACCACCATCCCAACATCTTCCTTTGGACAACACATACGTGGCTTAAAGTTGTAAGGGTGGTACTATTTACCGCCCCTTGGACAATTTTGCCCCTGGCATTTTTTTCCAAAAAGTAAGAAAAAAAAAAAAAAAAAAACCTGTCCGGCCGGCGAAACTGGACGCTTTTAACCTGTCTGACCGCCGGAACCGGACGGTTCAAAAGGCGTCCGGCCGGCCGGTTCGGACGGCATAAAAGTCGTCCGGTTTCGCCGGTCGGACAATTTTTTATTTTCTATTTTTATAAATTATTATGTTATATATTCGAAATAATTATGTTATAAATTGGACGTTCGAAATAATTATCCTTTTTAATACATTATAATAATAATTATGAATAATTATGATAATAATTATAAATTAGAAATAATTATAATAATTATAATAACAATTATAAATTATAAGAATAATAAGTTGAATAAATTGTAATCAATTATAAATTATAAAAATATTAATAATAATAATTATAATTATAATAAAAATAATAATTATAATTAATAATAATTATAATAATTGTAATTAATTATAATAATAAAAATAGTTATAATTTCTTATAATTTTAAGTATAATATTTGTTATAATAATTATAATAATAATTTGTTATAATAATTATAATAACAATTATAAATTGTAATAACAATAATAATTATTAAAATAAAAATGAATTATAATATATTTTAATAGTTATTACAATAGTTATTACATATGGAAAAATTTAATAAGTATATTTCTGATAATATCTAACGTCCAATTAATAGCATAATGAAGTCTAACATGTAACATAATCATTTCTAACTCCTAACACGATAATATCTAACGTCCAATTTATAACATAATTATTTCAAATATATAACATAATAATTTANTTTTTTGGAAAAAATGACAGAGACAAAATTGTCCAAGGGGGGCGGTGAATAGTAAATGAGAAGTTGTAATGATCTTATCATCAATTGCATTCACTTTAGCCTCTTTTCGGTCCCTTCAATCTCTTGCAAAATGTCCATGTTTTCCTCATACAAAACAAAAGTCTTTCTTGCCCTTAAATTTTTCATGGTTTTTCTTTAGACCCAAAGCATTAGTGATTTTTTTTATCAACAAAATATTATGGTCTTGAAACCATATTTACTTTGCTAGTCCCACCATTGGACTCATCAACAAATTTATCTTTTAATCTCATTTTTTCCTCAATACGAAGATGTTTTTGAATATCCTCCAAAGTGTAATCTTCATTACTGCGGAGAATTTGTTTTCGATACTCCTTCTGACTTGAAGATAGCTTAGCCACAATAACTTCAACGTGAAAAGCCTTCAACATTTCAATTTTTAAAGCTCTAACTTTATTCATGAGTATTTGCCGCTCATGAATTTGAGGTAATAAGGGGTTTACACCAAAAAAATAAAAATAAAAAATAAAACTAAAATATTGGAAGATAAATAAATTTTTAGTACCTTCTTTTTCAGTTTTATATTTATTTTCTATAACCATATTTCTCGAGCCTAATTATTTGTGTATAGGTCATACAACCCTTCAGATAAGGCATATAAAGTATGGCCTCGACATATTAGCTCGTCTTTATTTCTTTTCTTTTATGCAACCTCAATTATCGATGTATCATTTTCATTAGGTTTTGGTAGAGAAACCACTGTAGAGTCGGGGATGTAAAATATCTTGAGGTCCGTGAGAAGAAATTTCATCTTGTCTTGCCACCTAGTAAAATTCGAACAATCAAACCTGTCCAACTTGATAAGGTCTAGATTCATGATCTTGATTCTCTGTCTCCATGTAAATAGAGTTTTTAATTGTTGAAAATAATAGCTAACAATAGAGAAATAGACACTCAACAACACTTAAATTTTATTATTCGATATTAACTTGTCACATTCTTGCTATGTATAACATGTAACATATGTTATAACATTATTTTATTTTAATCAAATGTAACACTAATTTCTAGAGATGACCTATCTCGTACTTTAATGAGTAAAAAACCTGACGTCTCGCGAGCATGTTTGTTTATGGAATTTTTCAAAAAATTTCCAACATTTTAATTCAAACACTTTTTTTAACTCAACTTTAACTTAACCCCACTATCATCAAAATTATCAATATAATTAAATAATATCAATCAATCATTACTACACACCACATCAACCTTAATTCACTATTCATCCACTCACATTATTTTAATTAATCATCACTTCAAATCTCTCTCTCCTACTTTTACATCAAATCAATTTATATTATTTTATTTTAAATATTATTTTAATATACCCACTAACAACTAACCATACCACCTTTTTCAAAATTAACCAAACTAAATCAAAAATCTAAACAAAACTGAAATTTTTATAAGCAAACATGCTATAAATGAATTTAAACTCAGCTCTTTTATCAAATCAATTAATCTAGTCGAGTTGAATTGAACTTATAAAAAAATAGGGGTGTACAAAAAACGGTTTGAACTTTGCCCTTTTATCAAACAAATCTAATTTTTCCATAGGGGTGTACAAAATAGGGGAAAGATTCTCGGGCCCCTAAAAGCATCGGCCATATATATTACTATTGCGCTAATGTAAAAGCGGTTTGTGTTCAATAATTTGATGGCCATTGCTTAAGCAGCCGCTTGGACGGCTTGGTATGCAATTAATTATTCAGTTTTGTTATATGCTCGTGACTTGGGACTTGGGTTCTCTATTCTATTTTAATTTATATACAATCATGTATGCCAATCATTGAAGCAAATCTAATAAAAATGGGTTGGGAATAATTTATATTTTTTCTAATTAAAATACAATCTATATTATAAATATTATCGTTTTAAAATGAGTTAGATGGTATTTCGTACTGTTTTATAAAATATTAATTACATTTCAATATAAAAATATGTATTTGACTATTTGTGGTTGAAAGTAAATTATTCTGTTAGTAGATAAAGTGATGGAGGTACCTTGCCGAGTTGCCGTTCTATGTATTTAACCATATTTAAATTGTTATATTAGCATGTAGTAAGATGTCTAATTTGCTAATTTAAAAATTTCTATTCGAAAACAATATATTGGTTATTTTTAATTAGCTATCAGCTGTGTGTGTGTTCAGTTGATGAACAAAAAAAAAAGAAAGAAAAAAAGTACTAGAGATAGTTAGAAAAGTAGAGAGGAAATATAGAAAGAAAAAAAAGATAGGAGAAAAATAGAAAAACAGAAAGCACAAGAAAAATAATAACATGATAGATCTATTGACGCAAAATTATTTGTTATCAAATGGCAAAAAAGAGATAATTTTTATTTTAATTTTAAGTGCTTAATTCTCAATTCCGTTTCTGCTCATCGGAGTTTGTAAGTCTAGTGTGCTACAGATTTTGAGGCGATCGTCGCTGTATATTTGAGGACGATATGTCTGAACCGTCAGCACTACACGGGGCATATTTGTCTTGCGGAAAGAGTTTACACTCCTCGGTTATAATCTTTCTATTTTTTCAAGTTGTAATTTAATTTCAGATCTATTGTATTTTTTTTTAATTTTTAGTTCAATTGTAAGAATTGAAAAATACACTTCAATTTGAGGATTCCTGTATATTTCGACACACAATTTGTAACATTTTCAACCTAACGACTAAAAACAAATAGATCCATCTCGTTAGTTTTGATGGGGTTAGAACTAAATTTGAAACAAAAATTAAAAAATGACTGATTTTACAATCTATATATGAGACCTATTTTGCAACTGACTTAATATTATATGAGTAAAGCTACAATCTCGTTACGGAACAATACCGTTTTAAATTTTTAACCGTTAGATGCACATGCTACATTAATTTACATGCGTATCTAACGGTTAAAAATTTCAACGTAACATTTTCAATTTTATAGTACCAATTAATTTGCAATTTTCTCCTCGAATACTATTAAAATTTCCCAAAAGCCGCGCAATAAAACTGGTCTATTATCTCACCGACTGTGACGATTTCTCAATCATAACAGCCCCAATTACCGCGAACGTGAGTGGGCATGAAAAAAAGATTCAGTAAAATTTTATTTATTTTCCTACTTAAATAGCTGTTCTCTTTATTTTTCCTCATTTGGGCAAATGGTGAATTGCCTTTATTTCCTCTGAGAAATTAATAAAAAGAAAAAAAAGCAGAGCACTAAACCCAATTTAATAGTAATTATTATGGGAATGGTCGTCAGACTGAGAGAGCGAAAAAGTAGAGCGTGTTTTCCGGTGCAAGACAGAACAATCAAAAGCTGGTGCAACGACACGTGGACGCATCTAAGCCGTCGATCAACATGCAACGGTCGCGATCGATCCTCTCGCCCGGATGAAGAAGTTCTTTTATTGCAAAACTGCGCGATATCTGCTCAAGGAAAGCTTGTGTGGCTGTGTCTGTCCTCCGCCACAAATTCAAACTCCAAGTTAACACCACTTGTTAGAGAGAGAAAGAGTGAGAACTGAGATCTAGAGAGAGAATGTGCGTGATATGTCTTAAATTGAGGTTTCAGAGAGAGGTGGCTGCTGCCAGTGGCTAATGGCGGCGTTTGCAGAGCTGGTGTGACTTTAATGCCCATAAAGAAAATAGNAATTAGTTTCTCTCTCTACATCTCTCATCCCCCATCCCTTTCCTTTTTCATGCCCTAGAAAGAGATTCATAAATTTCGCGTAAAAGAAAAAAAAAAAGCTGCAAACAAACAGAGAGCAAACCCCCAAAAAATCACAATTCTACACCAACACCCACAAACACACATTGAGTGTGTGTCAGTCAGCAGAATATTAGCAAGAGAAAAAAAAAACTCTCCCCAGTCTCAGTAGAGTCCAGTCTCTAGTCTCTCCCTCTCCCTACCCACACAGTTACGCACATATTTACAAATTAGCCCTCACAAAGAAACAAACAACACTACACTGGCACAAAATTTGCCAACACCACCACAACTTTCTCATAATTACACCTACACCCACGCTCTACCCGGAGCCCCTTTTACCTGCCCGCTATGGATCTCACCTCAAACCAGGCCTTAGACTTATTATTACTATCACCACCTAGCTTTCGAAAATGTCCGGGTTTTTCTCGTTAGGTGGTGCCAATAATCTTAATTACAACAAAGATCATCATCACAATCCAACGGACAACAACAATTTGTTTTTGTCCAAAAACGAGGAGATCTACGGCAAGGGTTTCGAGCTATGGCGGCAGTACTACCAGCTCCACCATCAGAGACCGCAAAACATTCAGGATTTTCCCAGCAGTAGAAGAAATAGCAATAACAATAATAATAATAGCGATGATCAGTGTTCGAGCTTCGGTGGATTTAGGGTTATGAGGCGAGGGGGGGCCGAAGGGGTCAACTGTCAGGACTGCGGGAACCAGGCTAAGAAGGACTGCGCGCACCTCCGGTGCAGGACCTGCTGCAAGAGCCGGGGGTTCAGCTGCCAGACGCACGTGAAGAGCACGTGGGTCCCGGCGGCCAAGCGTCGGGAGCGCCAGCAGCAGCTGCAGCAGCAGGACCAGACGCAACTCGCTGTCGGGAAACGGCTGAGGGAGAGTTCGGCCGGGGCGCTTGCTTGCACGGGCTCGCGGCTGCCCGCGACGGCGTCAGGTAATGTTAATTTTGAGAAAAGGGAATTATTATTATTACAAAATATATTTGGAGTTTTTCTAGGTCGAAATTATTTATTGTGCGTATGAAAACAGAAAANGTTAAGGAGTAAACCTGACGCATATGGAGTCAACTCACTAAAACTTCGGGGGAAAAAAAAAGAATTTCCTTATTTCTCTAGAAATTATTTGTTTTGAATTATCAGGTTCAAAACTGAATAACATATTTAATTATCTTCATTTTATATTTTCCCAATTACTTCCAAATTTAGCTTTATTAATACAATTGAGTTTTTAATCTACTGATGTCGCTAGGGTTTGAGTTGGGACACTTCCCGGCAGAAGTAAACTCGTCGGCGACTTTCCGGTGCGTGAGGGTGAGCGCCGTCGACGAGGCCGAGGAGCATCTGGCATATCAGACGGCCGTGAACATAGGAGGACACGTGTTCAAAGGGATTCTGTACGATCAAGGCCCCGAGAGCCGGTACAGCGGCCCCGGCGAGGGCTCCTCCGGCGGATCTCAGCCGCACGGCCTTATAACGGCCGCCGCCACTAGCCACCAGAATATGACGGCGATTCTCGACCCGACGTCCGTTTATCCAACTCCAATTAGTGCATTCGTTGCGGGTACGCAATTCTTTCCACCTCCAAGACCTTAAGGAATGAGTGGAAATTAGTCTTTTGAGTTTTTAATTTGTCTTGTTAGATTTATTTTGTGCTACTCTTGACTGTGAGATTGGTAGCGCTTTTGTATCTAATTCGAAGCCTATTTCAATTATTGTTCGAATTTCAATCATGATTATTCGATAATTTAATATACTGTTGTTATAAATGTGATTGGTCTTGTCGATGGTGCTTTTGATATAGTTTTTTGTGTAACTTTGATGTTTCGTGAATCATACGAACGTGCGTCCATTTTTTGCTTGGTTTATGGTTATTTTTATCTTGTTTTTTTATTAATTAATGGTTGTTTAAAGATTCTTTGTTTTTGTTAATCTATTTTTCTTGGATATTATAACCGAATTTCTGGTTGATTTGAACTCGTGCTGCGATGTTCCCCATTATCCAGAGAAACAGCCAATGAATTGATTCAAATTGTGTTAATAGAGTTTCTAATCATATACTATTATTATCTTAAGGGAAAATGCTACAATCCCGTTACGGAACCATTCCGTTGGATTTGTAACTGTTAGATCAACTATCATTGACGGTTACTTGATGATCTAACGGTTACAAATTCCAACGGAATGGTACCGTAACGGAATTGTAGCCTTACCCTATCTTAAGATGCATATTTATATCATTGTCATATGTATATGAAATGTCATATTTTTTATTTTGCTGGTCTTTCAAAATTTGACATTTAATGTCATCCCTTTTGAATAAAAAAATACTATGTAATTTGCAGCGCGTTATTACTTTATTTAGGCGGCCCATCACTTACAAAAAGGGCTTCCAAGCATTTGGAAAATGTCACTCTGCCATTTCGTATTGAAAAGAAAGATAACCAAAAACACTGGATCTTGCAAACGTGCATCTGTTCATATATTATGTTTCATTATAATTTTTTTGATGTTTTGCATAAAAAAGATGATGACATTAGATATGTGGCCTCATTTGATGTATATTTCATTATTTTGAGACAGCATAGCTACATATACACTTGTTTTCGTTTTGTTTGTCCCGATTTTTTTTTACTTAAATTACTTTATTGATAATTTCCGCATGGTTTTAAGAAAATCACAGACATTGTTAGTAGTCAAAGGTAACATTTTTACCATCTGAATTAAAGTAGTGTTATTTTTGGGCCGTGGTAGTGTTAATTTGCTGGCTCGGGTAGTGGCATTTTAGCTTGTTGGGCTTTAATTTATAGTTAGTTTGGAGTATTTTGCTAGCTTAATGNTTGTTAATCTCAATTTATGAAGTATTTTAGTCTCATTTATAGAATATTTTGTCTCTTTTGTTTGGGTTTTTTGTAATTAAGGATATTTTGTGTTGAGGAGGGGAACTATGTTGAAGTGACTCTCACGTGGTTCGTTTCTTTCTGTCAAATAACAGTTAGGATGATCTTTCTAATCAGTTGGTTATCTGTTGGACTCTTTTTTTAGTTGAATTTAATTGTATTTACAATGAGAAAAATTAAGTAGTGCTATTTTCAACTACTCGATTTCATTGGTGCCCATACAAGTTAAAACTTAGTGAATATATATACTCCTTTTGAAAACGCACATATATTTTCGGGTCATTCAAAATATTGAAATTACACAAAAATATTATTTTGTAACATAAATATGCATTTTTGTTAAAAAGATATGATTAATAGTCTAACTGTTGAAGTACTTCATATTACATACACACATACAAGTAATCATGTAAATATGGTTTGGCTGTTGCAGGAGCAAATTATGTATATGCAATTATAATTATATAATAAGAAAAATTAATGCTCTCACACACACACACACACAAAAAAAAAGTTTACAACTTTACACGCATAAAACAATTTACACAGCAGTTCCCACTTGGTTTATAAGCAGCTACTCATCATGGAGACATGGATCGCTGATGGATGTGACCCATTGGAAACGATTGGAAAATGCACTTTTCCTTGTTAATGTTGCCCGCTGCTGTACCTTTTTTTTTTTTTTTTAAAACCAACACCCCATAGGATGGGGGGACCCGCTGCTGAACTTAGGTACATGGGAAAAAATAGCAATTTAGTCATGTAACTAGCATCAAATTGATATTTAGTCTTCTCCGATTCCACTTTTCCTGTAACTAGCATCAAATTGAAATTTAGTCCTCTCCGATACTCACTTTTAGAAAACGTCCCATAAGTGCAAAAAAACCTGAAAAATAGTCCTGACACCGGCTATAGCAGGTAATTCTTACCAGTTACCTTNTAAATATGTATTAGTTATGAAATAAAAATCAGTAAACTCAATAAATAAAAATATATATATATATATATATAGTATTATATATTTAATACCTTGTATAAGTAAAATTTTATTATCATTCTTGTAGTTTTATATACTAATTTATATTTTTAAAGTTTTAATTTATTTATTATACATTAAATAAATATTTACTAAATAAATAAATATATTAAATAATATAATAAATGTATTAAATAATACAATTTTATTTTCAAATATTTAAATATATATTAAAATATATATTTTATATTCAATTAAACAAATATATTAAATAATATATTTAATATATATATATATATAAAAAATAGTAAATATATTCAATAACTAAATAAATATATGAAAGGTTGTTGATATTAAAATAACATATAATAAATAAACAATTACTTAAATTTTTTAATTCAATATTTACTAATTATATGTTATACTTAATTATATTTTATTGAATTATATAATTTAAAATATATATTAATTACGAACTAATACGGAATAAAATTAATAAGTAAATAATACTTTATATTATTTGTTTTTTTAATTATATGCTTTATTTAATGATAGTGTATTGTAATATTTATTATTTACTATACTTAGTGGTTAATTTTACTATTAAATACTCAAATAAAAAATAATATTATATTATTCAATATATTTATTTATTAATATATATTTAATAAATTTTATTATTTAGTAAATATTTAATTAATATATTAAAAGTTTTCATAATATATATAAATTATTTCATAAAATATGTATAATTTTATAATTAAAAGCCGTATAAATTGAATAATATATATTTTTTAATAAAAAAATAATACTATAATATTAAATATATTTATATTAATATAAATTTAATAAATTTTATAATATATTTATTATTTAGTAAATATTTAGTTAATATATTAAAAACTTCATAATATATATAAATTATTTAATAGAATATGTATAATTTTATAATTAAAAGCCGTATAAATTGAAAAATATATATTTTTTAATAAAAGAATAAAACCATAATATTTAATATATTTATTTATTAAAAAAATAAATTAGAAATAAAATTATTTTTATTTAACATTTTTATTAATTTATATTTGATAGTTTTATTTAATATTAAATATTTATTTAAAGAGTAAAAAAATTATTAATCTATTATCATGTATTATTTAATAAAGATAATATATCATGTATTTAATAAATTATGTATTATTTTTATAATTCAAAGTAGTATAAATTAAATAATATATATATTATCTTTGGATAAAACGATCTTGATTGATATATAAGTAAATTAAGTCAAATACTTAACAAAGAATGTGTTAGGTCAAGTGGCTTTTGAAGGTTAGTGGAGGCCCAGCAACTCGGGTTTGAACCTCGCCATTGCATCTTTTTTGTAAATATGTCATATCATTTGCCACATCAGCTTTACAATTCAACAAAAAAACAAAAAAAAATGATAAAAATTCCACGTAGGCTAATCGGTAAGAATTACATGTTGTAACCGGTGGCAGGACTATTTTTCAGGTTTTTTTGCACTTAGGGGATATTTTCCAAAAGTAGGTATCGGAGAAGACTAAATCTTAATTTAGTGACAGTTACAGGACTAAATTTCTAATTTTCCTAGGTACATGTGATATGGTAATAACATTAGTACATATTTTTGCTTTCGTTCATTCTTTATTTATTTATTTATTATTATTATCATTATTTTTTATAGCCTGCTAGGTTTGGTACCAATATTGTGCTGCAAAATGAAAAACTTTTAAAAACTTTATTCACTTGATACAAAATGGATGTACCTTGGCCTTGAGGTAAGTACAGCAAACTTTTAGGAAAAGGACGTATCATTCCATGGGAGTGAAACACATACGATTCTTCATAAATTTTTGTCCGCGACTCGTTATACTTTGTTAGAATATACACTTGTTAGTTGTCCCACATTGTTTTTACAGAGAAAATCGATCCACCTTATAAGTCTAGTGGGCTACTCCTTCTACCACCAATTGGTTTGAGGATGAAACCTCACTTGGGTTTCATTTGAGTTTCCCTGATTTGGTGCGCTTTGTCCGTAGGACCGCACCCGTCAACCCCCGTTTGTCATGGTATCAGAGCCGGTTCACCCAACTAAATTGGGCTTGGGATTACGTGGGACCATGCAATTACGTATCCGTCACCCAGTCCAGTTGGCTTGAGCTTCCGAAGGACTCACAAGTGAGGGAATGTTAGAATATAATGTTAGAATATACACTTGTAAGTTGTCCCACATCGTCTGTACATGGAAAATAGATCCACCTTATAATCCTAATGGACTGCCCCTCCTACCACCCATTGGTTTTGAGATGGAACCTCACTTGGGCTTCCCTGATTTGGTGCGTTTCGTCCGTGGGACTGCACCCGTCAACCCCCGTTTGTCATACTTTTTCAACAAAAAATGCATATGTATTCTATGAAATATTATAATTTAGCTTATTTTGTTTTTGACCATTTTGCAGCGTCTAACTCTATCCAAATATAAAAAATCTATATATGGAACTTCACCACGAAGAAACTCCTTTAAAAAAATTTAAGTTTGCGTATGGCTTCAGGGATAGGATTAAATTATTTTATAGCCTTTGTCAGTTATGGAGAAAATCAGTTATACTTGCATGTGAAGTTCTTTGGATAAAGGAAACTAGTACGTACCCCGTGCGATGCACAGGACATCCATATTAAATGAGTTATTTATACAGTCTTTGTCCGTTTAAGTATATAAAGCAATATGGTTATCATATATTTTCCACCTCTCTTAATCAACGTTAAGTGTAGTAAAATTATATTATCTCACTAATACATTTATACTAATATAAATTTGATTTTAGTATATATATATTTATTCCTTGATATAAGAGAGAATAACAATTTTACTTATTCTTGTTCACCATATAATACTTAATTATTATTTTATTATAAACTTTGTTGTCAT